TCATGATGATCCTGTACATAGACTAAGAGGGAGTTGTTTGAACAGAACAAGCAGATGGTTTAAAATCAAGAAAGGTGTGCACCAGCGCTATACTTTTTCCACCATATTTATTCAATTTGCATGTTGAGCAAATAATCCGAGAAGCTGGACTATATGAAGAATAACATGGCATCAGGGCTGGTGAAAGGCTCATTAACGATCTGTGATATGAAGATAATACAATCTTGTTTTCTGGAATGGAAGATGACTGAAAATACTGATAAAGAACAAAGACAACAGCCTTCAGCATGGATTATACCTCAATGTAAAGAAAATAAAAATAGTCACAACTGGACCAATACATAACATCACTTCATTTTGTTTGTCTTCACTATCAACACCTGTTGGAAGCATTAGTCAAGAACTCAAATGGCATAATGCATTAGGCAAATCTGCTGCACAAGAACTCTTTAGTGTTCAAGAGAAGAGATGTCAGTTTGAGGACTAAGGTGTATCTGACCTAAGCCATCGTATTTTCAATAGCTCATATGCATCTGAAAGATGGACAACAAATAAAGAAGAAGGTGGAAGAATTGATGCATTTGAGTTACAATGCTGAAGAAGTATAGTGAAAGAACCATGGACTGCCAGAAGAACAAATAAATCTGAAGAAGTATAGCTAGACTCCTTAGAAGTGAGGATGGTAAGACTTATTATCAGATGGGCATTACGCTTGGTAAAGTGGAGGGTCAGCAAAAAAAGAGGAACACCCTAGTGAGATGAACTAGCACAGTGACAACACAATGGGCTCAAAGGTAACAACAATTGTGAGGATGGTACAGCGTAGGCAATATTTCATTCTACCGCACCCAGGGTGGCTATGAGTCAAAGCCAAGTCAATGACAAAACAAAAACAAAATTTATCTGGGAAATAGTATTCATACCACATCTCATGAAAAAATTATGTAGGTTTTGCTAGCTTAGAACTTAGCTCAATAAACACAGGTAACTGCAAGTAATAGAGGCAGCTATTGCCGCCAACATGAAGGTAAAATGTGCTATAACCATTTCTGCAAGTAGTAAATATTATGTGTGCATTCTATACACACATTATTTCAGTTGCTGAGTGAGATGAGTTTTGGGGAAAAACTTCAAATTCCTGTGGAATATCCTTATAAATATTCTGAGGGCTGCCAAATGTATCAGAATTTTAATTAGACACTTGATAGAATTCAGACATTTTTATCTGCTTTCAGAGTAGTAATTATAGGACTAAGCTCTTCAAACATATTTACAGATAAAGAAAGAATCCTCTGTTTTAGAGGAGTCCTGGTGTGGCGCTATGGGTTAATGTACCAGACTGCAAAGCCATTTGAACTGCAAGGTAGGCGATTCAAGCTCACCAGCTGTTCCTCGGAAACCCTATACAGAGTTGCTATGGGTAGGAGTTGACTAGACAACACTTAACAACAACAGCATTAAAAAAAAAAAAATAGCAACAAACAAATTAATCCTCTGTATCATTTGCAAACTTTTATTGTACTTGTTTTATAATATGAAAAAAAAGTCATCATAGAAAAATTGGAAAATATAGAGAAGCAAATCAAAGATAACTATTATCCTACCACTCAGAAAAAATGAGCATTACTAGCGTTTTAGTATATATCTTTCAAGACTTGTATGTGTGTGTGCAGTTATTTATATCATTTAAACATTTGTCTCCATATCTATCTACCTAATTTTAAAAAGTTGTTGTTGTTGTTAGGTGCCATTGAGTCGGTACCAACTCATAGCGACCCTATGCACAATAGAACGAAACACTGCCCAGTCCTTGGTCAACTTCACATTGTTGACATGCTTGAGCCCACTGATGCTGCCATATTGCCAATCCATCTTGCTGGGGGTCTTCCTTTTTTTCTCTGATCCTACACCTTACCAAACATGATATCCTTCTCCAGTGACGGGTCCTGCTTGACACTATGTCTGAAGTATGAGAGATGAAGTTTGGCCACCCTGGCTTCCAGGAGTACTCTGGCTGTACTTTTTCCAACACTTGTGTTTTGAAAGTAAACGCCATTATATTTTTTATGGAGGTAAATGGTATGGGAGTGGAGTACACCCACACATATGTAAAGGTTTGAAAGGACATTTGTACATGAGTTTGTTGCAAGCACAACTATGAATGTGGTGGAGCATACAGTAGGCAAAATGATGCAGACTTCTTAGATATTATCAAACATCTAAAGCAATGAGTTGCTGGAGCTGGGGGCTATGGACCATAGTCTCAGGGGACACCATGGTCAGTGGCATACCGCAGTCCACAAAGACAATGCTCTACATTCTACTCTGGCGAGTAACATCTGGGATATTAAAAGTGGCCGTCTTAGTGTAACTACTGGTCTCTCCATGTGAGAAAGAAAGAAGAGTGATGAGAACTGAAGATGCTTGGACTCAATTAGTCTTATGGACTAATGGAACATGTGAATATCAGTCTTTATGACTCTGAGACTAAAAGAACTAGATGCTACCTGGCTACCACTACCAATTTCTTTGAAAGCAATCACATTAGAAGGTCCCAAATAGTGTGAGAGAAAATGTGGGGCAAAACTCAAAATTATATAAAAAGACTGGGCTTACTGGTCAGAAAGAGACTGGAGGAACCCAAACCTATAGCGCTACACCACCCTTTAGGTCTGGAAAGGAACTCACCCACAGGACCCAATTTTCAGTCAAGCAAACTATAGGTATACAAGAGGTACAACAACATAAGAAAGTATGCTCACCATAGATTGGTGGATTCATTCAAAATCAACTTTGTCACGACTTTGCAGTTCAAATGACTTTGCAGTCTGACGCATTAGCCCACAGTGCCACACCAGGACTCCTTAGCAAACCTTTGAAATTCAGGTGACAAATGTTTGTCTCAAGAAGGCCTTCCAAGATTCTTACGCCATGTTAGGCCCTGCTGCTATACATTTAAATAGTTCCTTAACTACTATGAAAGACTAATCACTAGAAAAGGACATTACGATTAGTAAAGTAGAAGGTCAGTGAAAATAAAGAAATCCCCCATAAGATGAAGTGACACAATAGTTGCAACAATGGACTGAAATATACCAACAGCTGTGAGGACCAGGCAACTAATAACAACAAAACAATCATAATGTTCTCTCCTCTTTTATTGGTATTATTGCTTGTTTAACTTGCTCTTTTCCTTGATACAATCTCTGAGAGGATAGAAATAGGTTCACCTTATTTATTACCAATAGAATGATTAGCACAAGATGTTGTTGTTGTTAAGTGCCTTCGAGTCGGTTCTTACCCATAGCGACCCTGTACAGGGTTTCCGAGG